CGGCCGCGGCGGTGGCTGCCGGCTGCAGCTCCTGTGTCACCTCTGAGCTCACACCGCCAATTTCAGTCTGGACTTCGGTGCAGAGTGGAAACAGGGGAAACGGAGTGAGCAACAAAAGAGAGACTGTTTTAGCTCTGCATGTGGGACATTTGTTATTCATAAGTACAGATATGTTCTCTCTATAATCCTCTGTCTGACTGACTGACTGACTGACTGACTGACTGACTGACTGACTGACTGACTGACTGACTGACTGACTGACTGACTGACATCCACCCCGTGTCCTCCTCTTTCTCCTCCACCTCCATAAACTTGGCTCAGCTCCTCGCTTACATTCCTGGATCGCGTCTCTCGCCCTGTGTCAGATGTAACGCAGAGTTCAAGCCCCGCACGCGGCCAACGTGCCTCTGCTCGTCAAAGCTTCCCTGCCCCTGCTTTAACCCCACCACCACCACCACCACCAAGTCACTCCACCCTCTCTCCTCTGCAGCAGCAGCCACCGCCTCCATCACCCACCTCCTGCCACGACTTCTTTCCTCTGTTGTTGCGCTCCTGGGAACCATCAGTCGGTGCTAACAGCTGCCTCTCAGTAACTGGACTCTGCTGCTGCTCCTCCTGCTGCTGCTCCTGCTGCTGCTGCTGCTGCTCCTAGATACTCATGTGCCTACACCTTCTTCAGTGTTTCCATCACAAAGCTCAATTTTTGCGGCTGCGTTCAGCACAAATGTCCAACCTCATCTTCCTGATGAAGAGGGGCAGACAGGACTGAGCACCTCCACCTGTTACTGACCCCACTGACCCCTGACCACAGACGGGACTCAGGACTCTGAACAAAAGCCACAAACCTAAAGCAGAGCAGCTGAGTGTCAGCTGGCTCTGTTTGTTGGAGGTTTTCTCCACTCCTCTCGTTTGTGAGGAGCTGCAGCTTCTGGGCTTCACTCCGTTTTTTTCTTGGAGAGAGAGCGCAGGTGAAGCGGAGGAGCAGCGTGCTTTAGCCTCATCCTCACCTTTCACCCAAACTGCGTCTCTTTTTGCGTCTGATTCTTCTCCAGAAACGCGCGTCTTTGCGGTGATCATATCTGAAAACCTCTGGATTCTCTGNCCCCCCTCCTCCTCCGTTCTTGTTCTCTTCTCCCGCCACCACCGTCTCTTCACACACACCAATACACACACACACACACACACTGTTCGATTCTCAGAAGGAGAATCCAAAGATGATGAAATCTTCATAGTGAGAAACTGAAGTGAAGTGAAGTGAAGAGATGATGTTTATATGTGAGTTTACATATGAGTCAAATTTTATTTCTGTATGTGAATACGTGAGTATGGATATGTTAACGACACAATTTATGATCTTATATATGCGCTGATATATGTGATATGTGGGTCTAGAACCATTGATTATAACAGTGAACACATGACTTGGTATAAAAGGGTCACTTTAGATATAGTTTATATATATATGTATGTATACACGAGTATACACACATAAATATTTATATATATTTATATATGTTTATGCGCACATATATTACTGTCAATATTTGCGTTTGTATTTTGAGTTTATACGACGTCGGTGCCCGTGGCGGGGACGCGGCTCTGATGTGTTTTTCATTATAATTTAACCGAATTAAAGACATGTTTGGTCTGAATTCTGCAGAGTTTGGACCGCCGGCCAGGATTGGATGATCTAGATGTAATAAAGTCTGTGGTGTTGGAGGCTCGGACACGCGTCTGTGATGAACGGGTTTGACAGAATACATGTAATAACTGAAAGGGTTAACTTGGCTGTAACCTGCTGTGGCCGTGGAGCAGTCCCACGGACTGACCTCAGCTCATGTCTCACTTATATATAAATACTCAATACTACTGCATTTAGTGCTGAGGACAGTGGACACGTAGTATTCACAGGTACAGCGCGGTGATACTTCATGAGTATTTAAAAGTTCTTGAATTTTAGTCACAAACTTTTCCACACGTTCTGAAGAACCCCTCAATAATCCGACTCTTATTTTTCTGGATTATTAGATTATAAGATTTAACGTCTGTAACAATCGTTAAGTTAGTCATTAATGTTGATTTAATAGAACAGCGGGGGAGGGGGGTCTATTCGCGGCACAAATAAAATGACGTTTAGGTTCTGACCTGAGCAGCTGGACGGTTCGGTCCAATCATCATCATCTCAGTAGGAAACTTTGAAAGAAATTAAAAAAACAACAACAACATAGAACCAGATATCTGAGCAGGTTCGGTTACTCAAGTCCGCGCTGCGTAAAAGACGCGGCTCAGATTCTGAGTTCTGACTGGATCACATGTGAAAGGCCGACCATGAGGAGAACAGTGGACAGAACACCTGCAGACTCTGACAGTTCGGCCTGATGTCGCAGACAGAGACGAACTTCGAGTGAACACAATGTTGGTGTTGATGTGAACAGAACCGAACGATTAAAGCGAACAGATCTGATCACGTGACCATGTTTAACTTTGTTAGTCGTTAGTGTCAGTGTGGAGACCGTGTCCTGCAGCTCCAGCCTCCATCACTGCTGTGTGCACAGCCAGGGTCGGTGCCAGACACCGGTCTTACCTGCAGCAGCCAGTGGCACGTCTCCCCGATGAAGGGGAATCCCATGGATCCTTTCGGCATGGGAAGCTTGCAGTTCTTGTCCCGGGTCGCGGTCCAGCGGAGCTGCCAGAGCTGCTGGGAGACGGCGAGCAGCAGAGCCATGGACACCAGGCAGGCGGCCAGCGTGGCCAGGGCCGAGACCAGGTCAAAGGTGTCGAACATCATCCCAGAGTGGAGGTCTCGAACGGGAGTCTTTGGGGGGGCGAGGGGGACGGAGCAACTTTGTCCGGCTTCTCTGTGTGGACCAGCTCCAGAAAGTCAGCAGTGAGTTTTTGGAATGAATGAAGCGAAGAGTTTCTCTGAGAGACTTCACAGTCAGTCGGCTGAGGGTTTTTTTTTCTTCTTTTACTGAGCGCAGGTGAGGAGCAGCAGCAGCTTCTTTCACTTCCACTCTTCAACTTTCACAGTGTGCCTCCTCTGCCTTCTCCTTTAACTCTCTGAGTCTCCAGGACAGGAATCTCTCCAGAATGCTGCGGGAAATCTCATGTTTGGTCGCGTTTTTTGGCGCAGGGATCTGGAGATGAAGTTTGGCTCCAGAGGTGAACGATTCAGGAATTAAAAAAAAAAAAAGTAGTTGGGACACGTGGAGGAGTGAGCTGGAGTGAAGGAGAGGAAGGATGGAAAAGGAGAAACTCTCTTCCAGGAGTCGCTCCAGATTCTCCAGAGTGAATGTGAAAAAATAATTACAAAAATATTTTTTTAATCTCAGTGAAGGATTTGAAGAAGCAGAATAATCTGAGACTCCGTGGATGAGGCTCGTGGGTCAGGATGAGGAGTGATGCTGCAGCGTCCTCCTCCTTCTCCTTCTCTTTACCTTCTGTCCTTCACCTCCTCTCTGCGCTGCTTTACCTTTCACTGCTCTCTCTCTCTCTTTTCTTAGTGTACGTGCGTGTGCGCGCGTCCAGCAGCCACTCATAGCCACCGTTCAGTGTTTATATAGTGCGCAGGCAACGGCGAGGAGGAGGAGAGGCGGCCAGCAAGCTCCCGTCTCTCCCTCCTCCTCCTCCTCCTCCTCCTCCTCCTCTCTGCTCCACCTCCTCCAGCTCCTGAAGGACCCCCCTCTTTCCCCTCGCTCCTCATCCTTCCTCCCCCTTTTCTCCTCCCACCACCCCCTTCTCTCCTCCTCCAGCTCTGCTCCTGGTGTAAAGTGAGCAGCGAGCGGCGGAGGCGCGGAGCGTGCTGCGGCTGGGGGAGAGCCAGCCGTGTGCGCGTGCATGTACAGGAACTGTCGGCGCGAGCGCGTATGTGTGTGCGCTGTTTTGTTTTGTTTTTCCCTAAAACTGGTGTCTCCGTGCGGGACGTGCTGACCTCCTGTCCTGTCGACCTGCAGAGACAGAGACAGAGACAGAGACGGGGAAACAGAAAGTGTTTAACTTCAGTCAAAAACAATCAGGTCAGCAGGGACTGACTTCACTTCAAAATAAATACATCAATAAATAATAAATCATTTATTCAAATACGCTGATTGTTGAGGGTGAGTGGATGCGCAGCCGCAGAAGAGTGCCTCTGGTCTTTTTTGAAGTTCGTTAAAAATAGATTCATGATTGAAAGGTAAGAATCCCCCCCCCCTCTCTCTTCCTCCCGCTCTCCCACCTCTATCTTCTCAGACTGATGCTGCGCTGACGTTCACTGAAGAACATTTCTCCATCCTTCACTCGCGGGCTACGCTGTCAGCAGCTCAATGCTGCCTCCTAGAGGACAATAGCAACATGGCAACCGTCCAGAAAGAGAATGTGATGATGCTCAAATGTCATTTCTCTTGTACATTTTTTCCACATGAGAACTGTCCTCACAGAGCCAGTCACACGACCTGCTGACTCAGCTCTGCTCCGTCAACCCTGACTCAGCAGGACTTAGTAAAAACGAAAGTTCTAGAATGAAGTAGAAGTTAAATAAAACACACTGGTGAACACTGACAACAAGCTGATGAAGAGGAGAATAAATACAGGAAATGACAGCGCCACCATACACTTCTAGTTGAGGGATGCATGTCAACCCCAGCCTGCTCTCCTCTGGCCTCCACATCCACCTCATCGCCTCCATTACAGGGTCGTGACCTCTTGTGTAACGTGTGGAGGCCTCAGTGTTTCTGTTCCAGGTCACACTGATCCTGCTAACACTGTTGGATAATTACTGCGGTGTGTGTGTGTATGTGTGTGTGTGTGTGTGTGGGTGAGCTGTACACGCGTCGTCTTATCTTTACATTCCACTGCTGTGTCTGTTTAAGCTTTTAACACTACTTAAACACACACACACACACTGCAAACCCTGCGTGTGTATCATGACGATGCTGGTGTGCTTTTTTTCTGCAGCCATCGTACTTTCAATTTCCTCCAACCCCACAGTGACCTTTCACAGCCAAAGTGTTTAACTGAGGCTTTAGAGGCTTAGTGACAATCTCTCTCTCTCTCTCTCTCTCTCACACACACACACACACACACACACACACGGTTGCCAACTCAGCCATATCCTAAAACTTGAAGCTCATTAAGAAGATCCATTCAGCTACAACAAACCTGAAAGAGAAAACCAGAGATTTTGGATCTGAACTTAATGATGTAACAAGAACCGACCACAAGAGGCAGCAGTGAACCAACAGCTTATTTGAGCTAAGATCACAGTGTTTCTCCATGGACTTCAGTGTGTGTGAGAGTGTGTTTTACAGCGGTGCCTTTCTCTCCTTTTACTATATTTGTCATGAATATTTATAACATCAGTGTATTCTGTTCTCATCATCCAGTCTAGTATACTCAAGTTTTTTTATCCAATCATATTTCAGCCTCATGTGTTCTCATCACTGCTGCACCTCACTCTTTGCCAATGTATTTGAACAGGAAATGTGTAACTTCAGCAGTTTTGACCATAGAAATGTAGAGATCATCAAGTGGACAAGATGTTTTTCTCTTATCATTGTCCTAGGATGCTAGGTGTCAACACTGCCTCCACTGGTCCCTTCGGGAAATTAAGGAATGTGATTTGCACCCTTGAAAATGAAGATTTCTCTGCGTCCACAGTCGAGCGGACATTCTCAGCCTTAAGCGATTTAAAACTTGAGCATGAATAAGAGAGAACAGACTGGACCTTCAACATTAGAACTGGGACACATGGATAAACTGGACAACAAAGCACTTGAAGTGAACTAAAGAAGTAAAATACATTCTGTCTTTTTAATAATACTGTAATTGTATTATGATGTTGTTGTTGATGCTGTTTGATGCTGTGGCTGAATTGTACTTTGTGGGTTTGTTGCTTCAGTAATGGAGTTTTTCTACAGGATACAACGACTCATCAAACTTTAGGTTTCTATAGAAATAATGAAGTTTTAAGGACGTGGATTTGTTCAGGCAGAACACCACTGGAGGCCTGGGTGAGAAATGCACTTTATAGAACTCCCAGTCAGTTCAAGTCTTGACCATGTTGCTAAGACACCGACAACTTTAGCTGATGTCAATTTAATGGACTCTGACAAACAGGCAGCATGTTAAATAAAGCTTTTGATTCCCAGACGTCATTATGGTCATCACATACTGTCCAACCTGGTGGTCCCCCCTCCCCCCGCCCCCCTCTAACACACACACTTCCTTAACATTCCCTCAGAGATGTGTGTATCAAGTCAGATCCAGAGCAGCGAAGACATCAACGCTGCTCCACACTTCCATCTTTTCCTCTGTTGTCGTCCATCAGGTTGGAAACAAACAAAGGACCAAATGAAGACAGATGAGGCAGCGGACACACTTCTCTTCTACTAATGAGCCTCAAGTGCCAAAGGTCACAGAAACTCTGTCTCTTTTCATAGCATTCAGGAAATGATAGGGAATTTCCAACCAGGAGTCTTTTTTTCTTTAGGAAGTTTGCTGTTTATATTTGATCCATTTTAAACCAATGATTCACAGGTGCTAAGAAGTTTATACCTGAAAATGAGCGGTTGAGAAAAAAAAGTTATCATATATTTTAAATCTATTTATCCTTCAAAAGCTTCAATAAAATTCAGTGGCCTTTTTGTGCAGTTTCCACCGAGATCTTTAACGTGCAGACAGACCAAGGTGAGTAGAGAGCAGCAGAGTTGTTTGACTAGATCACACGCTTTATATTTTAGAGATAATCTAAGAGAACGTGTTAAAGTATTACAGTTTCAACATTCAAGAATACATCAAATTGACGGGACAAAAAAAAAAAAAAAAAAAAGACTTTCATTCAAAAATGGTAGATTTTATTACTGTAGCAACATCTCCACCTAGCAGGTAAAGGTAAGAAGTACAATACCAACCAAGTAACTTTAATGAATTAAAGATATTCAGCCAGAAGTTGATTTAATTTCATTGATATCAGAAATAGAACCGTTTGCCAATAAATGAATACATGTGTTAATAATGGACAAACCGAATACTTCATTACTGCATAGACTCCGTCCGTTTCTTTTCTTTTCTTTTCTTTTTTTTTTTAATAAACTGTTTCTACTTTGTGACGGGTTTCTTCCATGTTCTCCACGTCACGTCACGGACCGGACGCCACTCGAGCCCGGCGTCACAGAGTTGAGCAACCGGCAATGTCGTTTTTTCACTTCCTCATGATGAAGTCGCCTGCAGGTCGTGGGATCCACGGCCTGTATATTTGCATATGTATGTGGGGGCGTGGTGTGGTAATTCCGCGTGTGCGATCAATTCCACGTTGATTGGGATGCACAAACGAAACTCACTTGGATCCATGCGTTCGCACACTTTGATACATCGGATTTTTTTAATTTTTAATTTTTTTAAATTTTTTTGCGTAGAGCTAGTTTCTGGAGTTTTACGTACGCCCTTTACGATGAAAAGACCGGTGGACCATGGACCGAGCTGCTGCAGGGTGAGTCTTTGAACACCAGGGGAGCCCAATCAGTAGATTGTGATCTACCAATAGCTCACCAGGACAGTACTAGTAGATCACGAGTCATTAAAATGCTATTCTGATGCTATTTCGACTGTAAAACGTTAACAAACCATTTGAGCATCCAAACTAAATGAAGCCCAGGGGGAGGCGGTATACAATATTTGTTGTATTAACATTTAAAAGGTATGGAATTTATTAATTATTCATTACAGATACTTTATTCCAGGTATGACTTTATTTTAAGGCTTGGCATAGACGGGTTTAGACGCAATTCAGTGCTTTTCTTTTGTGCGCGTGCTCTGTAGAGAGACTGGCCAGTGGCTAATGCTAACTTCTGTGTGTACTGTGCAAAACCTGCCGTAAATCTCCAGGTGAAAGGTGACTCCATGGGAGGAGTTTGACACGATAGTGAGTGTGAGGGTTTGCGGATGTTTCTTCAGAGTCTTTGTTTAGATTACAAATGAACCGTCAATAAATCCATGGGATTATTGACGGTCCACACCGGTCCTCTGATTGGTTAACGAACGTAACAGTTAACAAAAATACATTTTGGATTTACCAAACTTCTATGTGATCAACATTTAGTTTTTTGTTTGATAATTTTCTCAGTAAAATCTTACTTTTCTGTCATGTGGTCACATGGTCAAAATTATGTAGAAAACTTAAAACAAAAATTCAAAATTTTCTTTTCTGCATGTTTATTATCACGTTACAGTAGTTTGTGAAAAAAAAAACTTTAGAAAAAAGATTTTGGAATTTTTTTGTTATCCTGTCATGTGCATTTAAAGGGGTTTTCGAGACTTTTTATTTTTTTGCATTATTTGTAAGGCTATAGTAAGGTGTGTTTTTGGTGATATTTTAAAATATTCAGATAAAATATTTTTTGTAGTTTTTAGCACACTATTCACTTGGCAGCATGTTTTGCAGCATAAACGGGCATTTTGAAGCATTTCAGGGACTTTTTATTTTTTTTTGCATTTTTTCGTGATAGAAAGGCTATAGTAAGGTATGTTTTGGGAGATTTTTGAAATATTCAGGTAAATATTTTTTGTAGTTTTAAGCACAAACTATTCACTTGGCAGCATGTTTTGTGACAAATTTGCATTTTGAAGCATTTCTAGAACTTTCTTTTTTTGCATTTTTTCGTGATATAAAGGCTATAGTAAGGCATGTTTTTT